CAGCGATTCCAGCGCCCCCCTCCCCCCCTGTTCGTCTTCCCCTCGACGCTTGGTGGCCTGTCCACATCCCGTCTTTCCAATCTGGTAGGTAAGGTACATCGCACATGTCTCTATCCGCGGGCCAAGCCCGGGCGTGGGCTGCCCGATCCCTTCAACCCCTTTAATATAGGCTTTGGGGGGGGGGGGGGGCAGGGTAAGGGTAGCCAGTGTCCGCCAACCCGCCCCAACGCGCGCTGGTTTTGACCCCGTCACCTAGTACCAGGCCTGTCAGCCATGCCCGCATGATGCCCTTCATTTTGCAGGGCCTGAAGCTTTTCAGCCCACGATGGCGACAGCTGGCGGAGAGTATATCTGTCCTGCTCATCGCCGCTTGGCTTGTTTGTGTTTTTTTTTGTCAAGCTTCAGCGCAAAGCAAACGGCCCCCCACTGAACAAGCGACGCGAACATTTTTCGGGTCAGATAAAAATTGGACGCATGCAAAGTCAAGCTCAAGATCAAGCTCAAGCTCAGGCTCAGTCAGACGCAAGCTAGATTTTTCGCCACAAGCCATACCTGACCTGCAACTCACTCCATGGGCCGTCGGGTATGCCAGGCAGTCGATGAACCCTTTTGCGCCAGGCGTGGACGTTAGTTTGGAACCGTGGTGGAAGCAATCCCTATGGATCAAATCCACAGGCATCACGCCTTTTGTGTTTTCACCGTCCACGACAAGACGCCGCACGAGTACAAACCGCCTCGACAATGTGGGGGGGGCTGACATGGAAAATACAACCTCGTAACAAGGTGGGTGCCCTGGATTCTCCGTCTTGCCGGTCTGGGTTCGACCCAGTCACCGCTTCCCTCTCGCAGAAACCCCTAAAAATGAGGCATCCTCGGCTCGGACGATACCAGCTACAGCCGGCAAAAGCTGTTGACGTACAAGCAGGGTGGGGAGCATAATTCTGCTGCTAAATTACCCTACCTAAGGTACCTAACGTTCAGCAAAAGCATTCCGGGGCACCAGGGCCACCAGGGCAGGCAGGGCAGGCAGGGCAGAGTGTTTCGCCGCTAGGCAGGTCTTGGGGAATTACCCACGTGTCCGATCCTCACATCTTCCTCCTCACCCCGTCACCCAACAGTTCTGTCACTAGAGAGAAGGGAGGAATGCCCCGTCCAGCTTTTGATTACCTGATAAATTGTCCTTGAAGACAAAGCGATCATCTCGGTGATATTTGCTCCCCCCATAATTAATGACCATTGAATTGTGATGGTGCACTAGTGCCCATGGCACATGACTGACTCTGATCCAATGCATCGTGAACTTCCGACGAGGCAGAGAGCCACCATGTTCCGCAACCTCTCTCGTGGGATAGGTGCTGCTATGCGTGCGTGCTCTCCCTGGCGACACAGATACCGCATCGCAGCCGATGCCGCTTGCTCATCTCGCGCCACATCCCGTTCCTGCAACAGGGAATAATAGGATGACAAGCGACGATGCACCCGCTTCGTGCCGTAAAGAAAGGAAAAAGGCCACCAGCAACATGCAGGCGAGGGTTTGTCGGAGAACCAGCCAGTCATTACGCTCCTCCTCTGACAGGTGCACTCCTCGAGAGACGTAGGCGAAATGCAAAACGAGTGAACGATCAAGAGAAATGGCCTTGTCCCCCTCGTGCAAGGCCAGCTCCCACCGGCTTCTTGTCTGTCCCGCGTCGACCCTCCATGCTTTTTTTCTTTTCCTGTGCTGCTTGCTCGTTTGCTCATCATACAACCCGCATGCGCCGCAGCGCCGCAAGACAAAAGTGGATGGGGGCGTGGACGAGGCACCTTGAGGGGGGGCGTGGGAAGAGGGAAACAGAAAAGGGCGGGGGAAGCAGCCAAAGGGGCGTGGCACGTATAAGGGGGGGTAGGGCGTGGTGTGCGACGATGGGTTCTATCTCGGTGGCGCCGTGTTCATTCGCTGGCGCGCGCCGGTGAGACGAGGTTACTCTGCGCATATCGTCTCTTGGCGTCATGTCGCCTGTCGAGACGGAAGAAGGGGGGTGACGTGCGAGCTTGGCCTGGTCAGGCAGGCTGGGGGCTGCGTGGCATGGCAGCTGCACCTGTGTATGTGTGAGCTTTGTGCGCAAGGGAAGGAGGAGAGAGAGGGGAGGAAGGATCCGGGTGAGAGGGTGTGGTGGGCAACGCGGGTGCGTGTGGACATGCGTGCGTGATGGTGGTGTGGAGATTTGTTGGACGGCTAGCTAACGAAGCAAGCAACAAGAGCAAGGTGGCAGCAGTGGAAGCAGGTGCAGGTGCAGTGACAGTGCCCTTGAATGCTCGCAGGCAAGACAGCGCTGCAGGTCGAGATGGTGCGGGACCACCAGCAGCAGCCCACACGCCCCAGCAGGAGAAGTCCAGCAGCAGCAGGAGCAAGAAGAGAGTAGCTGGGGGGGGTGGGGGGGGGGGGCAAGGGCCCGCCCGCCCGCTAAAGGTACTTGATCGAGGTACAGTATTCAGACGCCGGCTGACTACGCGAGGCAGGTACCGGTCGGCGTACTGTAGGTGCTCCAACGGACGGGCTTGGACCAATGTAGTGTTGGTTCTTGGGACAGGGCAGATGACAAGCCTGACACCTTGGGGCAGCCGTTCGTCGAGAGGCAAAGGGTCTGGCTGGCTCGAAACCGAGCTGGGTCTCCCCTGATGAACTGATCCGGGATCCAGTCTGATAGCGCCTGAGCCAGTCAATCCGTCGTCAGGATGAACCATGATGTGTCCAACAAAGGTCAGTCGCCGGCGCCAGACGGCGCCATATCCTTTCGAGGTCTCCTAACCTACACTCTGCCCAGTTGAGATGTGGCCACCTCCTTGGCTACCGCAGAACCTACCACACCACACAGTACGTACTGTTTTGTCTTGTCGTCTGAACAGTGTCCCTTCTGCCTCACAATTCAGTCGAGACGAGGCACGTGCTGGCCGTCGGAGTGAACATCGAAAGGCGAGACGAAAACGACGCCAGGTTTTTGTAGCGATTGTATGCAGGAAGGCATCACCACTGAAATCGAGGCTATGAAACACACAGCAAGCAGAACCAGGAGAGGAATGCAGGGTGGCCCTGATTGAACAGCTTCTGCAGCTCACGTGCAAAGAGTCTCTCTGAGGCACTGTCGCACCGATGACCGATCTCGTTTTCTCGCGGGATGGGGGTGGACAAGCTCAAGCTGGGGCCTAAGGCCAACCGGGAATGTGAAGGTGTAGGCTGGGAGAGGGGGAGAGGGGGAGAGGGAACGGGGGAAACAGACCCAGGAGATCGGCCCTCCCTAACCGCCCGCAACCAGGCGCGCAGATCGATGAGCCCCAACCGAGCCAGACGGATGGCTGGGCATCAGTGAGCGATGCTTCACGAGAGACTTCTCAAGGTGCCTAAGTTCAGCTGTCTTTCGGTTTGGCACTCGACGAAGATGAACAAGGTGACGGTTCCACGCGTCGGTATGAAGTATGCACCCGGCAGACGAGCGCTTGGTTCCGTCCATCTGCTCTCAACCGTCCGCATCGTCTGCTGGCTGAGCAGGCTGTCCCAGAACGCAGCGCACCCGGCACGGTGTAGCGTCCCGCACCAAGCGCACCTTTACAGTACATCACCTCATGTTGTGGAATGCGACAGCAGCGGGATGCACCAGCATTCATCACACACGCACGCAGGGCTCTCAGTCATCCAAGCAAGGCCAGGGAAAAGCAGCCACCCAGTGAGACAGACGTCTTCCTCATCCATCCGCCCTCGCTCGTCTGAGTCAAGTCACGCCTACCGGGTGGCCCGCCTAATCCACCGGTCTCGCTGTCTGCCTTCTGTTTCCAACAGGCACGCAAGCCACAATAAGCCTGGCGCCACGTCCGCCCACACCTCGGGCCCATCACTTGCGTCCGAATGAGATCGTCCCACAGAAAACAAATGGAAGGCCACCCCCCTACAATGACACGCCCCCCTGCCTACCGAGCCTGAGGAGGCCAAGGAGGGGGGAGGCCCGAGCCCAGGGCCCTCTCCCCCCAGGTGTGCCCTTTTAGGGCCCAGCCTCGACCTCGACGTGCCAAGCCGGTCCGCGCAAGGGCGGCGCTCTGCCGTCGAACGTCACGTTTCGCCCCAGCAGCCGTCGGCGTCATTGGCTGCCGCCTGCCACAGCTGCCGCACGCCGCTGGCTGCTTTCAGAAGAAAACAGCAGCATTGCATGATGCCAAATAGGGAGGCCACTTCGCCTGCCTGCTGTTCCACCATCTGGACTTGGGGAATTTTGAAAAGAAAAAAAAAAAGTGTTCACCGTTGACCTTGAGTGGTTCGGCGCTTTTCTTTCCCACGTTCTCATCTGAGCCAAGGGATGACGAAGTCGTTGTTAAATAAACCTTGGTCGTCATTCTGTGGCTAGATGACTCGTGGTCCTAAGACAAAGCGCGCCCAATACAATGTCTCGACCACATTCCAAAGAGATCACTGGATGGTGTTCTCCTTTTCCCACAAGGCATGTTGGAGACCACTTTTTCGGCGAGGTCCTCGGCTTCACAGCATTGTCTGCTTCCGTCTCGCATTTGATGGCCAGTGGTGGGCGAAAGAAGACGGACCTGTAGTGTGGACCGTTGCAGCTCTGCTTCATTGGGTCTTTTAATTTTCCATGAGGAGCACGCACACATCCAGATAGGCGGTCTTGGAGCATCGGTCGGGGGTCAACAGGAGGACGTACAGTGTGATGTCACTGCTGGTCCAAGGGGATTAGGGCGACTCGGTCAACGCTGGCACTCTTTGTCATTCAACAACCGCTAAAATCCTACAACACGCGTCAAGCCGCAGCTGCGACGCGTCTTCTGCCCGTGCCGTTCATCCACCCATTGCATACAGGTATCGTCCTTGTGCGCCAGTGCAAAAGCAATGCTGAAAGCCAACTCTCCCTCTAAGAAGAGATAGAGGAGGAAGGGAAAGGGCGATTCATCTTTCCATCAACGACTTCCCCGCAAGTGATAAAACCAATTCTCTAAAAATGCCGGTCCAAGTACGTGCCCTACGGCCCATTCTTGTGATCCGCCTCCTGGTCAGGGGTATAGTTCGTCTCACCCAGCATCGCCGCAGGCTGCGACGTCATGGCCGTCTGCGTGTTAGGCTGTGGCTGGCTTTGCACTGTGGGGCCCGTCGGCTGGGCAGGAGGCGCTGCCGCCGCCGCATTGGAGGAAGAGGAGGGCTGATGGGCGCCACGGCCGGCGGTCGCGGCGTGCAGACGCTGGTCGAGCGTCTTGAGGGCCAGGGCGCGCCTCCTCTCAGCCTCTGCACGAGCGCCACCGGGTCCGCCGCGTTGAATGAAGCTGCCGCTGCCTCCGCCACGAGCGGCGGAGACGCTGTCTTGGGAGAAGGGAGTGCAGACGCGCATGGCGACGAGGACCTCGAAGATCTGGTTCGCGGCGGCGGCCACAAAGGGCTTCGCGGGGCCGGGGAAGAACTCGGAAAAGGCGAACGTCTCGCTGGCGTCGCCGCGGAGGCCTGCAGACTGGGATGCGTCGAGGTCGGGGAACACGGTCTTGTAGAATCGGAGATATGTCCAGCTGACGAGGAAGCCGAAGATGGCGAGGAGGAAGGATGCGACGGACATTAGCGTCATGGAGAGAAGGGTGATGATTCCGATGTAGATGAGGGGAAAGCGCGGGACGCGCAGAGACAGGATGCCGCGGAAGAGGGTCACGGTGTGCGCTGGTACGAGCTGGCTGAAGGCGACGAGGAAGGCGATCTGCACGGGGATGGTGCCGGCGATCGTCATGAGGCTGGAAGTAGACAACGTCAGCTTGCGAATCAGACATGATGTGAGGATGGGGGTCGCGACGTACGTCCATCTCTCGTTGCGAGTCAGAGTGAAGAAAACCATAGAGACCAGGAAGGTCAGGACATTGGGCACCAGCGACGAGACCAGGAGAAACTTGGCCAGTTCCGCCGACGACCACGCTCGCTCAAGATACCTTCCACCATAGTACAGGGTGGCGCCAGCGGCGGAGAATGTAAAGACGTTGCTCTCGACGAGCGTCGTGGACACGAACGTCCACGGGTAGATCAAGGAAAGCTGGGGAATCAGCGTGAGGTAGGGGATGACAATTTCCGAATTGGCAGTCCACTGGCGATACCGGATCGCGGCGCTGAGAAAAGACTGGATCGCCAGGGCTCCAAGAGCCACGCGTGTAACAGGCGGTATATTTATTCGAGGCGGCATGGCGACTAATGGGATGTGGTTCGGGGGCTGGCAATGTGATGCGGTCGACTTCTTCGACACAAGGGTGCAATGGCAGATATCACGAGCTGCGCGCGACGTGGTGTTCTCTCTGGCAAGGGACCACTAGGCAGACCTGTTGTTCCGCATCCCTGTGCTGACGTAACCTCCAGAAATGCGCACCGCCACGAGTCGTGGTTACCAAGGCCAACAACGTACCTGCGGAAACTCGTTGTTGCGCAGCCGATGAGCCACTCCTGATCATCTGAATTCCCGAGTGCCGACCTGACGCACAGAGCAAGGACACCCCAAAACCCGAGGCCTGGAGCCTCCCCAACCCTCCGATGCTTTTACGGCTACGCCCGCCCGCGCCTTGCCCATCTACCTGCCTACCTTGCCTGCCTAGGGAGGCATCCTGGTGGCATTGCTAACCCTATGACCCCTGTCATCCTGCGCAGGCAATCAGCCAAAGCATGCCGTTTTGGATTGCATTCAAAATCTCAACAAACTTACGCGTGACGACGACTTGTCGAAAATCATCTTGACCACAAGACTTGTTACTGGAACCAATGCCAACGACAAGCACCTCAAGACAGCCAACCTCTCCGTCATGTTGGTTTGTGCCGCACCTTGCCATTCGACAGACACCTGGGTGGTCATGCGGAGGTGGAGAACGGGTCCCTTCATCTGTCGCTCGGGTTTGGGGGACTGAGTCGTAAACACGAAACGGGTAGATCTCGTGGCTCTATCCCTGCAGGGCGCCCGGCGCCCAATTGCTTTTCTTTTCGGTCGAACCTCCAAACCGCCTAGCATCCAGCTCAAAAGAGAGCCCTCCCCCCACCACCCCCTTTCCCTTGGAAGAACTAGCCAAGGCCTGCCAACAGTGATCCACTCGCCGTCCCTGGTGACGAGTCGAGCTGGTTGGCGGTAAAACGTCCTCGTTCTGCCCTGTTCATCGAACCCTTCGACCATGTCTTTGAGGAAAGCAGCCCGTAGATCTACGATCGACCGCGTCATTCTCGGCCTGGAAGATAGGTGGCATCAGTCGTGAGGAGAGTGTGGTGACTATTTCTTCGCGAATTGCAGGGCCAGGCAGCCAGGCCAGCCATGATCGACGCCAGTGGCACTTCGGTCGAGGCGTTTTGCATCGTTCCATCCCGCAAGGTCGGCCGGCAGGTGTGGAAATGGAAAAGTCGTACTGCCCGTCCTGCTTGGCTACAAACGGGGAACGAACGTGCCCGTTCATCAGTGGTTGCAGGTCACGCCGTCACGGGCCACGGAGAGGCGATTGGGGGGCCGAACAGGGGTGGTACAGGGGGTGCTCTGAAGAAAGCCCCGGCTCTGGTCAAGATCGAAGCCTCGAATGTCTTGTCAACCATGGCACATCCTTGCCTGTGGGGACAAGCAGAGCAATGCAATCCCTCCTTTTGAGGTAGCGAGGCAACCACCGGTTCCCGCGCCGGCCGCTGGCGTACAAACTCTCCCCCCCTTCAGCCCAGTGCCACGTACGATGCATCTTGACTCGTCTGCTTGCCCTTCTGTCCGCCTTCTTGAGGAGGGCGCACCCACACAACTGACGGGTGCCGAAAGACAGACAGGTTGCAGACTTTTTGCGGATCATGAGGCCCTCCTCCTCCATTTGCGTGGCACTAGAAGGTCTTGCGGATTTAGTGCTCCCGCATGGACTGTGGTGGTCGTCGAGTCCGCCTCTCAACGTGCTGCTGCTGAGCTGAGGTGACTCAGGTACATCGCCTTGTTACGATGGGTAAGGTGGGTGAGATGGTGTCCATGTCGAGCGTTGACCTGCAGCACCCTCCTTCGGCATTAGCTCGCAATGCCATGAATGCCAACGACGTGCCTTCACCAGCCCTTCTCCACGAAACAGAAGAGCAGCGCAGAATCTCCTTACAAGCAGAGCAAGAGCACAGCGCGTCGCCGTCACAGTTCAGCGAACGATCTAGATCTGTGTTGCATTGACAGTTCGAGGTGTCGAGGCCGCGACAAGTCGTCCGGTGTCGCTGATCAACAGGACAAGGAATAAGGATGGAGGCAGCCACTCCCCGTTTCCATTTCCATCTGTCCCCCCCCCCCAGTCTCAGATTTTGCAGGCTATCGCATGCAATGCATGTTGAAGCGAGACCGGGGGCGCAGAACGGTCGGTCCAGCGCAGCAAAAAGTTCGACTGGTGGGATTTGGGGTGTGGGCGAAGGTTAGGTAATCAGTCAGTTCAGGTCCATAGGAGCTGGGCCCTGAGGTACCGCTAGGTACCTTGCCATGTCTCGAATGCAATGAGATCCACTGACAATAATTTTGGTGATCACTCCCACCCCCCCTTCCCCTTTGATGAACTTCTTTGGACGGGGATCTGGTGGGAAGGGCGGGATGGATGGGATTGTCCACATGCACTGACGAAGATGGATCTGTTTCAGAGCATATCAGTGTCTCCCAAGTTGGGAAAACAGGACACGGCATAGAGGCAGCCCAGTGCTGCCATGCGAAGACGTCAGGTACCGTGTCACGGTACCTACGTGACAGAGATCGTGGCTATATGGGTACAGGCAAGAGACGAGAGGTGAGAGAGGTGCCTAGGTACCTTATCTTAGGTACTGCTAGATACCGTGGCCTCGAAAAGGCAGGGGTCTCATTCCCCTCTCCCTTCCCCTTCCTTCCCATCACATCACTTCCCTGCCCTGGGGCTTCTTCGCTCCCCCTACCCCCTACCCCCCCCTACCCCTTCCCCTTCCCCTTCCTTGGCCCTATTCTCCGCTGCAACGCACCAGTCCAGCGGCTGACAGTGCCTGCTGCCGCCGCTGTCCATAGCTGCCACCCACTGGCACTGCTGCCACCCACTGCCAGTCCGTCGCTTTAGCGCCGGCTGGTGCTGCACTGCCAATTCCTGGACCCAGTGAAGGCAGACGCCAGACAGGCCCAGTCCACTCGGCTCCGTCTGGGCTTCTTTCTGCTGGCCTCCTCCCGTTCCTCATCTTCAAATCTCCTCGTCCGTTCCCTCGAAAACCTGAACTCATCGCCCTGCTCGATTGCACGCCTCTAAAGCCGGCCAGCCCGCCGTCAAACGATTCGCACGCGTCTCCCATTGTCAAATCCATCCATTCCGCCGCGCATTGCGGTGCACGCCCCGTCATGATGAAGGAATACCTCGACTCCGATAGAGTGAACTACTTGGTCTGGAGGTAAGCCCGCGGCCACCACTCTTCTCTTCTCTGCCTCCGCCTCATCCAGTTTTGCGTCTCACCTCACCCACGCTCCATCACACCGCGACGCCGCCTGCTAGACTCGCCAGTCCCCTCGCGCAACACGGCGGAGAGGGAAAGACGGGTCGACTTTGGAGACCACGAATGCTGACCAGTGTGTGTGTTCTTTGCGCGTAACAGATACCTGCTCGAAGGCAGTACGTTGATGCCTCTCCCGCCTCCCGCTCCTCGTGGACTGACGCTTGCCTCGCAGATTATCGAGAGACGGCAGCCAAGTTTCAGAAAGAGTGGCACGCTGAACCTCATCGTCACTTCGACTTTGCGCGCCACATCAAGAGCCATGCCCTTGTCTCCGTCGTCAACAAGGGCCTTTGCTACCACGCCCTCGAGCGTGAGCATGTTCGCAAATCGGTGAGTCCACACACCCCCCAATCCAATCCAGGCGCGCCCCACAATCACACATCACAACCGTGAATGAACCCTCATCCTCGGCACCACACGTCGTCTTCAACCACAGGCCTCATTCACGGCGCCGACTCAATTCATCACTCACTATCATGGGGGGGCCGACTAACCCTCGCCACAGACATCTCCCATCGCACCCGTCGCGCCTATCGACGCCCTGCAGATGGGCATTTTTGGCCCGCTGAATGTTCAGCCTCCACCGCCACAAAAGGTCGAGGACGACGAAGAGGATGCTGACGGCGATGCCGATGCTGACGCAGATGGCGATGCCGACGTGGATGCCGATGGCGATGCAGATGCGGATGGCGATGCGGATGGCGACGCAGAGATGGAAGAGGTCGAGAACTCGCGAAAACGCCAACTCGATAATCGCACGCATCACCAGCATCAAATGAACGGTTCGCCGGCAAAGCGCCCACGACTCGTCAGTAATGGGTACGAGAACGGAGTGGATGCAGCCACAGACCCCATGGAGCTAGACAGCCACAACCATCAACCAACCCCGGCCGACCACAACAACAACCACGCTTATCCCTCGCCCCTTGAAGGCGAACAGACACACTCACCAATCCCCCACACCGACGGTCCCGAACAGGGCACACAGGTCGACAAGGTCGAAGAACTCGCACCCGAAACGACCTTTTTGCGACTGATGCCAGACGACCTTCCCAATGGCACCAGCTCAGCGTCGCCCTCATCGTCACCCATGCGGGCTCGTGCTGCGGCTGGAGAAAATGCACCCGTCCTGTTAAGCTGCGAGTGGAGCCCCAAAGACCCATCAGTCTTGGCGGCTGCTGGAACCGATGCGCTAGCCCGCGTTTGGACGGTTTCGCGTGCCGCCACATCTTCCGAATCTGACTTTGACGCCCACGACTCCCATCACGTGAACGGCGTCAACCGCCCCTTCCTCAGCCTCGTCGACGATGCAACGCCGCGCAGCGCAACAGTCAGCCAAATCGCCTGGAACTCTGTCGGATCGGCCATTGCTGTGGCGATTGATAATGAAGGCAAGACGTCGGTGCAGGTGCGGGGAACCGATGGCTCGCAGCTCGGCAAGTTTGATGTGACCGAATCACCTGTCATCAAGCTTCGATGGAACCCTACCGACACGGCCCTACTGGGCATCGCCCCTGAGAATGGCGGCGCGCTCATCTCCGTTTTCCTACCACTGACCTCGACTACCCTGACGTACTTTTTGCCCGATCATGACATTGACAACTGGCCGCTCGACGCTGCTTGGACCAGTGAGGCGACACTTCTGTTATGTGGAGGCCAAGTCTTGGTCTCGCTCCGCTGCACCGATTCGGCTATTGTCGTGGACAAGAAGATTGAGACGCAACCGGACGATAACTTTTCTCAAGTGCAATTTGACGCAAGGTCCAACCTCGCCGCTACGGCAAGCGCCAGTGGCGTGCTCGATGTAAGTTTGCAGCCTCCCCCATGCACGTGTGACGTCCTTTCCGTCCTGACAGGCAGTAGCTTTGGAACGAGGCTGGCGAGCGGCATGCCATCTCTGCGCACTCGGGCGCCATCACGGCGTTGCAGTGGCAGCCAGTTCCCAAGGACGCGCATGTACCCGATGATGAACGACTGATTGCCTCTGGCGGAGATGACTGTGCGATCCTCATTTGGAATGCAAGGAAACCAGATCAAAAGGCCAAGTGCTTCCTTACGATGGACTCGCCCATAGTCAGACTAGCCTTCACGCCCGACGGCGCATTCATTGCGGGCGCAACCGCCGGCAGGATCTTGATCTGGAAGGTTGGCGACACGGCGATCCCTCGAGCCAGCTGGAGCCGGACACCTCATCTCGGCTGGCTCAGCCCGAAAACGACTTCCGAGTCGGAGGATGAGGATGAGCACTGCCTTGGCTGGGACTGTGATGGCCGACGCCTCGCATACGGAGCCAACAGTAGGGTGAGTGCAAAAAAGCTTGTCGTCTGTAGATCGAGAGTCAGATCACTAACAACATTCGGACAGCTTGCCGTAATTAACTTTCGAAGGTAACATAGACGGCGACTGTGCGCCTACACAATATCATTTTCGCGAACAAGGGCGAGCCAGGCCCAGGGCCACCTAGGCTCAGAACTACGTGGGCAGTACTATTTCCGAGCATCAGCATTGCTACAACGCCGCCGCCAGAGGAATTGCGCAGGCAGCGTTAACATTCACGACGACGAGGCAGCTTGCACGGCTCTTGCTGCCATTGTCCCTTCTGTGGGGTGGATAGTACGATCTGGAAACTTTCAAAAGAAGTTCTGGAAAGGGAAGAAAAAGCGATGGTGAGATATCCGCCGGCGCAGGACAAGAGTCTGGCGCATGATAGAGATGCTGCTGCATTTGATTTTTGTTGTTCTTTGTTTTTCCTTTTGTAGCGAGGCATGCGCTGGATTCAAGTATACGGCGGGTGCATTCTTCGGGCGCTGAAGGGGCTCAGGGGACGGCAACGGAGGAACAGCTCGATGTTTTTGGCTCGTTTCGAGAGCAGGCGCTGTGTATAGTAGCGAAGGGGGAGTGGGTGTTGGACGTGCCATGTATACCATTGGGAGGATTGCTGATACAACAATCACATTTGTATAAACAATTTTTGTTGATGTCATGTGCCATGATATGATGATGTCAAATCTGCGAGAATGCTGTCTGTCGTTGGACATCAGTCGTTTGCATCAGGGGTTCCGAAAAGTGACTATCAGGTCATGTCGGTGACCTGAGGCGGTTTGTGCACGAATTGACGTATCACAAAGCCCGTCTGTTACCCCGCAATCACCGTGCTCACTTGTCACTTGAGAGTGCCGCTGCACAACACCTTTGTCCTCGACGATGCGTCTACAAACTCATTGTCGAAATTAATTGTGCAGGCTGGAGCAACCAAGTCGTCTTCATGAAAAGAAAGCTCGTCCATTGACTCGTCTACAGCACTTAGATTGTGTACATTGTCGCTGCAACATCGCCCTCCTGCTTGAGGCGGTCAACAGTCTACAGAAGCTGAGAGCTCCTGCATCAAAAAAGCAAACTTCCCGCAACGGCCAAAACAACCTCGTACATCCCACGAGGTACACCACTCAACTTGAAGACTGTTACGGTCACCTCATTCCGTCAGCTTTGTCACAGATCGCCGCCTCGCGGGGCGCATCGCCATTCGAGATCACATCTGGCTCTTGGGCGCCCTCCTTCCCCAGAGGCATCCCACACACCGCCGCACCTTCCTCAGCCAACACCATCCCGTCACATCACGCACGCGCGCAGGGCACAGGCTAGAAAGACCACCATAAACGCAAAGGCAGTCACCCCCAGAGAAAACAAAACAATGTCGTCAACACCCTACGGCACCTCCACCCCCTCCACAACCCCCCGCCCCCCTCCCTACTACGCATCAACAGCCCACACATCATCCCCCCAGCCCCGCCATCGCCCCTCGCCGACGCCGTCCTTCACGCCCACGATGCGCGACCGCCAGGCCCGGGGCAAAGACCCCTTTGGCGCCTCCAGCAAAGACCCCTTCCCCAGCGGCGACTTTCAGCACCGCCAGGGCGGCGGCGGCCGCGGCGGTTCGGGGGGTCGTCGACACTCTGACTCGGAAGGCGACGACGACGAGAACACGGGGTTCATCGGCGGTACTGGCCCCCGCGGCGGCGGCGGCGCAAGCGAGCGGCAGCGCGGGGAGACATTCGAGGCGTTCCGGAGGCGCGAATGGGCCAGGGACGTGCTGGAGAGTCCGGAGATGTTGATGTGGTATGCCTCGAGTCGGGAGGACGTACGTACCCTTTTTCTTTTTCTGTTTCCTTTCTCCCTTCTATGCCCTGCGCTGGTCGCGTCTCGCCTCCTTGGTTATAGCGTTCCCCCCCCAAGGGTTCTGTCTGAGACTGTCTGGGCCTTCACAGCCAGCTCCCTCCCTTCCCCACGCCGAAGGACATTTTTTTCGGTGATGTTTGGTTGAGCTTTCACTGCGTTGATCAAGGAGGTGGTTGTACTGACTCCATGACACAGAGCATCCCGGGCACGCGCCTTTTCTTCACCCGCGTCCTGTGCGGCTTCGAAGAGGATCATGTTCCGCCGCAGGAGTCGACTCAGCGCAAGAGCTCCGGCTCTGGGCCCGGCAGGCCGCATGGCCACAAGCGACGCTGATGAATCGAGGGTTCGGGAGTGACTTGCGGTGAACAATAGGCCATCAAAGACTTTTGTGGGGGCTCAAGTGTCAGAGACAGTCTCACTTAGCGAGGGTTCGGGGAGCGGCAAGGGGATCACAGCACCAGAAATGCAGCAACACAGATTGAGATGCTCAGACGTCGTCATATTCATGCCGGTGTGCAGACGAGACCAGCCAGCTGACCCTAACCCATGTGCCGTACTGCCTATCTCCAAAAGGCCCGTCCACTCATCCACCGTATACTCTATGAACATCTTGTGTATATGTCCGCCCGCTGCTAAATGATGGATATCCGGTGGGGCATCTCGCTGATGCCTACTCCTGGTCGAGTCGCTCCCAGAACTGTTCCCATGTATTTGTTGTGACCATTCGTCTCCTTGACGATATTGAGAATAAGAGCAATAGAAAGTAATAATAACGAAAATGACGCCAGTTAACGCCGCCCGATGCAAATGCTAACATGTAGAGTAAAGACTCCCTTTTACGCATATCTCATGCTCATCGTCCGACTCCTCTGCGGGTGCCACTGGCCTGGGTATGGCTGTTGGCCCGAGTACGAACTGTTGGCGTATCCTTGGCCTTGATGGCCGGTATGTACCTCACCCGGATAGAGGGGCATGTTGTTTGAGCTGTGGCTCGCCGGTGACTGCTGTTGCTGCCGCTGTGGTGGGGGCACTGGCGCGATGTTGGAGGCATTCCAGGCCCCGCCGTAGCTGTTCCACGTATTCATAGGAGGAGGCGTCGGGGGTAGCTTGGAGGCGTTCTTCTTGTGCCTACGCTTCTTGCATGCTGACGATATACAGCACCAGAGGATTGCTAGAACGAGAAGACCACCCACTGAAGCTCCTACAGGGATTAAAATATTCTTGTGCCTCTCGAACCAAGAGAGAACGTCGTTGGTAAACGATGCGTCCCGGCACACGCCATTGCGGCATGTTCCGCCACTCTCGCAAGGAGTTCCATCAAGATAATTTTGGTTCAAAAGTCGGCACTCCTCTGTCTGGAATACGTTGGGTGAACGACAAGAGAGCATGCAGCCGTTGTCGCACGATGTCGTCTGATTGTTGGTGTCGCGGGAACCGACAGCAGCCTGACATTGCTGCTCTCGTGACGTGCACTGGCCCGAAGCGCATTGCAGGTTGTCACCGTCAGCGCCACACGAGTCACCGTCGCTCCTGTGGATGTCACTGGGACAGACCGAGGAATCACCAGGGCATGTTTCCTGTGGATCGCAAAGGCCCGTACTCTCACGACAGATGCTGCCTTGAGAGGCGTAACGACACTGGTCTGTGCAGCAGTCCTCGTTCGCCGGATCACACTGCGAGTTGGTGGTGAAACGACAGGTCGCGGCGTCGCAACACGGGTTATTACCACAAGACTCAGCGCCGCCACAGTCACACTCTTCCCCTGACTCAACAATGCCATTGCCACATTGGCTTCCAGTGATTGTCTCGACGTCTCGATTGTTGGCCAAGCATTCCGATCGAACGGCATTGCGATACAAGGCGGAGCAGACATTGCCGATGGAGCAAGGGGAAAAGTTTTGAATCTGCCTGCCGGTAGATGGGTTCATGATGAAGCGAGCTGCGGCGTTGCATGTGTTCGCGCTCAAAGGACAGCATCTTTGCATCTGGTTCTCACTGCTGGCGCAAAGTTGATCGTCGCAGTCGTGGACAGCACCAAAAGTGTGACCGGCTTCGTGAGCGAATACTTGCCACTCGCTATCTGTTCGGACAACAACATTGGCAGCAGCAACGGTTTCATTGGAACCGTCACTACCAGCTGTAGTCTGCGAACCTGGGACACACACCTGACCGAGCCAGGCCAGGCCGACAGCCGAGTTGGTGTTGCAGGTGCTCAGCAGAGTCCAGAAGGCATTGGCATCATTAGACCGTCCGCGCCACTCCGAGAAGAGGTTGAGACGGTCGCTTATGCGTAGATTGCTGTTGCATCCAACGTTCCAAGGAGCGAGATCGCTGGTAGAACCGGGGCAGTCGCGGTCGCTGATTGTAAGATTTTGAATACCGAGTGAAATGTTGAAGCTGCTCTCATAGACTTCAGAAGCCGAGTTGACAAGGTCGATAATATTCTGGCGAACGGCCTGCGTGTCGTTGAAATCTGCGGTATATGTGCAGTCCGTGGCGATGCCAACCAGGGCAATCTTGCGGACGGTCGGACAGCCTTGAGTCGAGCCGATGGTGGCAACAAGATTCTGGCCCGCGCCGTTGTTGCCCGTCTGACCGGAATCAATCTGTCGCCCGAATAGTGAAGCAGGTGAAACGGCCCGCATGCGAACGTCTTCAAACGCGTTGGGGTCGTATTTGGCATTGAACGTGAGTGACTGAGATTCACAACTTGATCGGCCTGCCGTGTCCCGCTTCAGGTCCTGAGGGTCAAAGTAGTAGCTCATGACGTCTGAATCCCTCCACACCACCATGTATTCATCTGGGTCTGCGTCGGTGTCCGGGAGTGGATCTTCTGGGTGCTTCAGGCGTCGATAGTTTTTGCCGGTCATAATGTGATGGTGGTCACCGTCGATTCGAAAGGCGCCCTGAAAGACAGGATCCTTGCCGTCGCGATGCATGGTTATCCGCGCCCATCCAACCTTGGTCCATTCAGATTGGCCATCGCGGCGAATGAAAGAGGCGCCGCGGAAGACCTTGTGGTCATGGCGGTTGATGCGCTGTGACTCCCGTAGCGAGCCATCCGGACCGAGGTAGTTAACGTGCATGTCATGGTGGAGGATGTCGTGGTTCGGCTCGAGGGCGAGGCGTATTTGCTGTTGGGTATTGTCGAGACTAAAGGTCAGGTCGAATGAGGAGTGGTACTGGCATCGTTTTGTTGGCGTATTTAAGGAGGGGGCGTCGATGAGATGGATAGCTGTCAGAGGATTCCGCTGTGCAGAGTGTGCTATTCAAAGAAGAGTAGTGTTAGTAGCCTGATGTGCCTCGAGTGCCCGTGAGCGACAGAGACTACGAACCAGCGGCATCTTGGATTAATGAGGCGACACTGAGTGTACTGGCGAGGAGGGCCCGTATGCTAACCATGTTGGTGGTAGCAGGCGGCAAAGAGAGGGGAAGAGAGAGGGAGAGAGAGAGGCGAAGAGTTCCCTGACGCGGGACGGGGTTCTTGTGAAGGTTATTGCATCAGTTGCAGTGTGTGGTAAGGATCTTCCAGGGCTGGGTTTGTTTGGATTTGCTTGTTCAAAGTTGAAGATGGGGAGAAGCGAGTGGTGACGTCTGGTAGTCCCGGGCGGTTCGGAGACAAAAGGGTATTGCGACAGACTTTCCAAGGGGTATGAATAGACGAATATAGGGCAAATGTTGGGTCTGGATATAAGGGATATTTTTTTCAAAGGGTCGCAACTGGGCAACTGAATTTGGCAATCTGTAGTAGGTAGCGTGGGGGAAGATGGGTTAAGGTTGGAAGAGAGTTGGGAAGTTTCTCGTTGACTGACTGACGACGACAACGCTTGCTGGGTGCACGGAAGCCACAGACGAATGGTGGCAATGAGATGGGGATGGCAGATGGGAAAGAGACACCCAGAAGCAGTAGTAGACGTGGAGATGGAGGCGAAGCAGGCCAGGGGGGCAACGTGAGGTACTGGGTCTACGAGTACGCAAGCACCCAAGACTTAGGTACCGTGCTAGCGCCCTTGTGCTTGCCTCCCCTGTCGCCCCGAGGCCCCTCCCCATGCCTGTCGCCCACACCCACAGCCCCCTGCACGACACTGGCTGTGGGAAGGCCCCCTCCAAGCCCCCTCCAAGGCCCCTGCCAACCAGTTGGGGATCAGTTTCACCTTAGCTCCGAACAGCCAAGATGGCTCGCTCTCGTTGACTCGTCAGCACCACTGCACTTTGTTGTCTTGCTCCTTGGCTTGCCTGGCTTGTAGCCATGCTTGCCATGGTGCAGCTTATTCACGCTGTCGTCGTCAGCGTCTGCCAGCACTAACCAGCCGACATTGTTCAAATTGCGGAGTCTTGAGCAAGTCCGAGCCGGCGTCTCCTCACCCTGACCGTCTCGTCTCGTTATCCCCATCGGCCAGCTGCGGACCCTCAGAGCGACGGTTATACCGACCAGGAGAAACTATGGCAACGATGATCCTGACAGGTCGAGAAGTCTCAAGAGAGCGAGTTGTTCATCCATTGTGCGGCATCTGGTCGACCCTGACTATCAATCAGGAGCCCATACGTCCGGCACGCGGCAGTCATGGCGACCCCAGGCTTCCAATAATCCTGGACGTGGAACCGCCCACTGAAAGGCTGGGCGTCCACGGGACCAGCGTCTCCAAAGCCCAAGCGGCTCTGACATCCGAGACGGGGCTGAAGCAGAGAAGACTGTCGACGCCGACGCTCCCGAAATATCATTCGGCTGGGCCACTCTCCTCACAGACCACTTTCTGTCTGTCAGCCAGATGCATGCTTAGCGGCGAGCCATCAACGTGATGGATGCCGTGCTACCCTGCTCGAAGTCTGGTGGCGAGCGTCCAATTCACAGCAGAGCCCTCGCTGTGTCCCCACTGCAGTACAGTACATGTGGTAGGTCGGTACCAGATTGCGGACTCGATCAGCTCGGCCAGCTACACCTGTGATTGTGGCCATGAACCCCTTCGTTGAGCGTTTCAGACCCAACAGATCGTCGACCACAGACGATCCTCTTCGAATGATACCATGTGCAACAACCGTGTTCACAAAAAGACAGCTTCCACATCGTTGTGCATTTTTAAGAGGCGAAATTGAGTTGATCCCGACTGGCCTTGCCAATATGCGATACGAGGCAACCCGATAACCGTGGGAGGGATGCATCCCGAGGTTCCCACTCTAGCAGATGGGATCTCGGCGTGCGCGCCCACTCTGATTCCAGCAAACGAGACGATCTCGTTGGTAGAGGCTATGTCTGAGTCTCCAGAGCGACCACAAGCAGGCAGGCGCAGGCTCAGTCACAAATCTGCACGACTCGCTCCAGCGGACCACTCCACTGCGTTCCATCAGATGGGCCCCCAATACAGCAAACAAATATTCTGGCCTCGTGGCACACCTTCCACCACTGGCACCAATTGCAGATCATCCCTTCTGATCAGTGCTGCTCCTCGTCTATCCTAAGTCCGGAGACGGCCGAGCTAAGGTAATGACCATCGCTGGTCTCTCGACCATGATCTGCAGCAACCCAAACAAATTGCTAGTTGATCTCACGCCCGTCTGATCGATGCAAAGCACATAGCGTCTCGAAGGCTCACACAGCCTTGCACTACGCTCAGCCATCGTCTTGGCGTCTGTCAGCAAGACCCTTAGATAATCTGGTGATGATGCGCTGATATTTGATTGACGACGATTCGGGCAAATATCTCTGACGTTCACATTCCGATTACGGCTTGCACCCACGTGGTGTTTGTTCTAAGGGTCAGCGGCGAAGCCCAACACCAGGCGACCACCAAGGCTGCTGCTGGGCAGAGGATGACGACGACTCTCAGCCATCGCACTGCTTCTCCACACACCCTTTCGGACTTGGCGAACACCACTTGCACATTCCATTTTGCAACCTTTCCCTTTCGAAGCCTGCAGGTTCTAGCGCTGGCACAGCGACCGAAAACTAAGCTTCCGAGCGTTCCAGTTACTGCCGGACTCGCGCTAACACATCAACGACGACCTTCAGGACCGCAGTTGTCAGTTGCTGTCTCTGGCCGCGCTCAGCCGCCAAGTGTATCGACATCAGGTGTTTCCGGGGAAAGCCCAGGGCATCTCGAGTATTTTGAGCTTAATGGTTCAGACATATTCTGGTGTCGATTTCTTAGAGGAGTTGGCCAAGAATAGGTGCGAGTTTGCATGAGCCAAGTCGGGCATCCGAACCGCACGCCGCCTCACAAGTTCAGCACAAAACGGAGTCCTTAACTCCTCGTCCTTACTATACTCTATGCTTCAAACGTGCATGCACTGTTATGAGACTGCGCAAGGAATGCCTTAGTACACTGACCAGATTGCTGCTCTTCGGTATGATGTCCTGAGGAACGAGATCCCGTCGCTGACCAATAGCCTGGATACTGGGGATGTCCACGGTGTTCAACCCGTAACCCAGTGATCTTCGCAACCTAAAAAACCATCAGACGCCAAGTCTCCAGATGAAAGCTATTCGAGACGCAGCGGCCGCCTGGGTTTCCCCTTCTTTCGGTCCCCTCTCGTAGTCCACCGATCCTGCTTGGAGGTAATCGTCGTCGGGTTTGTGGTCAATTCCGACAAGAAACTCCGTCGGTGTGATGGCGACATGCAGTGAACATGGAGATGCCGCGCGGCGTGGCTGTGTTGAGATGTTGTCTTTCAGCATGCAGAAGAAGGACCGATCTCTGCTCGGTTGTCCGCCGCGGGTGCCAACTTGAACTCTTGAATCCGGCAATGTATGACTCGAGCTGCTCCTACCGGAGTCGGGAGGATTGATGAAGTGATTACCGACACTTGAACGGTCTTCTGGAGGCCTCTTGATCGGTCCATGTTCGTTTTGGTAGAGGGTCCCGGTTGACGAGAACCCCTGAATGAGAACTCACCGTGGCAGTGGGCCGTGCGATTTGACTCGAGAGATGCAGGGTTATTGTGCCTCGAGCATGGATGACACGATGTTACCGTTACCGAGAGTCGGCGATTGCTGAGGTCGGCAGTCTCTACGCTTTGCCAGCTGGACTGCTCTCTTTTTCTGCGGCGACCGCGATGGTTCAAGCTTGGTTTGTCTCCTACTACATTGCCAATGTCGTTTGCCACGTTCTCAAAACTTTGTTCCCACCTCCTTTCCCAACAGACTGTCGGTTTGCTCCCATGTTCCCGAACGCATCTTTTTTGAGTCCACACTCAGGAGTACCCGGCAGCAACGACAGAACGAGCGAAAACGCATGATTCAAGGTTTCAATTTCAAACACTCAACTCCAAGTGCGACCATTTCCGTCATAGCCCTATATCTCGTTCGAACTGTCCTGGCATCATGGTATCAAGTACGTCCGCGGAACATTGTGCCCTATCCTCCTTCCGTTTCCTTCCCAAAGCCTACCGATGCTTCCAATTCATTTCTTTCCCTTGGCCTCGTGCACGAGGTTGATAATCTTTTCGACGATGGACGGGTCTGACAACTACACAAGAAGAAAGGCATCAGTCACGGACGTTCTCGACACAGAGACGTTACGGGGGGCCAGGAACGAAAAAACATACTGTTGTGATATCGCCGAGCTGGTCCTCCTCGCCGGCGAGGATCTTCCTCAGAATGCGGCGCATGATCTTGCCGGAGCGCGTCTTGGGCAGGTCGGGGACGATGAAGACGGCCTTGGGGGCGGCAAAGGGGCCGATGCTCTTGCGGACCTGCATGATGAACTCCTTGCGCAGGGCGTCGCCGGCGGCGGTGGCGTCCTTGAGGGCGACAAAGGCGTTGACGGCCTGGCCGGTGAGCTCGTCGGCGACGCCGACGACGGCGGCCTCGGCGATGGAGTGGTGCTCGAGCAGGGCGGCCTCGATCTCGGCGGTGGAGAGGCGGTGGCCCGAGACGTTGACGACGTCGTCGACGCGGCCGCGGATCCAGTAGAAGCCCTCGTGGTCGCGGCCGGCGCCGTCGCCGGTGAAGTAGTAGCCCTTGTAGACGTTGAGGTACGTGTCCATGTAGCGCTTGTGGGCGCCGTAGACGGTGCGGGCCATGCTGGGCCAGGGCTGCTTGAAGGCGAGGACGCCCTCGACGTCGTTGCCGTGGATCTCGTCGCCGGACACGGGGTCGATGATGGCGGGCTCGATGCCGAAGAAGGGCAGCGAGGCGCTGCCGGGCTTGGTCGGCGTGACGCCGGCGAGCGGCGTGATGACGTTGGAGCCCGTCTCGGTCTGCCAGTACGTGTCGACGACGTGGGCCTCCTCCTTGCCGACCGTCTCAAAGTACCACTTCCAGATCTCGGCGGCGATGGGCTCGCCGACGGAGCCGAGCACGCGCAGGTGCTTCATGTCGGCCTTGACGTGCTCGTCGCCGGCGCGCTTGAGCAGGCGCAGCGCCGTCGGCGCGACGTAGAACTGCGTCACCTCGTGCTTGGCGATGATGTCCCAGTAGCGCGAAAAGTTGGGGTAGGCGGGCGTGCCCTCGAAGACGACCGTCGTCACGCCGAGCAGCAGCGGCGCGTAGACGACGTACGTGTGGCCCGTGATCCAGCCGACGTCGCCGCCGCAGAAGTAGCGGTCGCCGTCGTGAATGTCAAAGACGTACTTGCCGGTGCAGGCGGCGCCGAGGAGGTAGCCGGCCGTCGTGTGCATGACGCCCTTGGGCTTGCCGGTGGAGCCCGAGGTGTAGAGGAGGAACAGGGGGTCCTCGGCGTTGACGTGGACGGGGGGGAAGTAGGTGGGCCACTTCTCGACCTCGTCGTGCCACCACCAGTCGCGGCCCTCGGTGAAGGGCACGTCGGCGCCGGTGCGCTTGTAGACGAGGACGTGGGAGACGTCGGGGCACTGCTTCAGGGCGTCGTCGACAATCTTCTTGGTGCCGATGAGCTTGCCGCCGCGCTTGCCCTCGTCCGAGGTGATGACGACGCGCGACTTGCCGTCAATGACACGATCGCGCAGCGAGTCGGCGGAGAAGCCGGCAAAGACGACCGAGTGGACGGCGCCGAGACGGATGCAGGCGAGGATGGCGACGAGGGCCTCGGGAATCATGGGCAGGTAGATGGCAACGGTATCGCCCTTGCGGACGCCCATCTCGCGCAGGACCCAGGCGACCTGCGAGACGTCGCGCAGAAGCTGCTGGTAGGTGACCTTGCGGCCGCCATCGGGCTCGTCGGCCTCGTAGATGATGGCCACGCGGTTGGGGTCCTTGTAGGCGTGGCGGTCGACGAGGTTGTAGCAGGCGTTGAGGGTGCCCTCGACGAACCAGGCTGTGTCGCCGCCCTCGAAGGAGCCGCTGCGGACGGTTTGGAAGTCGGTGTACCAGGACAGGAGCTCGCGTGCCTTTTCGCCCCAGAACTTTGTGGGATCCGTGATGGACTCCTTGTACAGCCTCTGGTACTCCTCGAGATCTGGGCATCGTCAGCGACGGCTGTTTCGCGCGAGGAGGTTCAAATGGGCAAGGGGTGCATCGGGATAGGGGGTCAATCGCGGGGTCGAAAGGGGTTCACTCACTGGCAATGTGGGGTTTGCTGGGGTGCTCTACGAAGAGGGGCAAAATCGTCAGCAAAGATGCTCCCACACGTTGAACAGAAGCAGCGCGCTATGACAGCATCGACCGTCGCGCCCCAGCCTTGCCATTCTGGATCAGCAGGACAGAATTCGACAACAGACGATAGCGGTATCGGCACACGCGACTTGATGAGGCATGAGGTCTCCATCTCAGCACCTCACACACATGACACCAACAGAAAAACAGGAGAAGAAGTGGGACGTACTGTCAAGCATCTTCTGAGGAGGGTCTATTGCGCACATTTACCGCCGCTGGTCAGCATTGCATTCTCCAATTTCACGGCTAATTCAAGGAGGGGCGCGTCACGATAGGCCTGCCCTGTCGCGCGCCGCCTCCAGAAGCGGGACAGCTCGAGAGGGGCAAGTCACCGTACGACAAGGGGGGGTGGCATTTCGGGCTTACGGAAGGTGTCGACATTGTGGGCCTCGGCCACCACTGGTGTCTTCTGTTGCTCGCCTTCGGCCATGTTGGGCGACGGTCTGGCTTGTTGTTGCGATTGGGAGAGGTGTTGTAGGTCTACAGGCTTGCCGAGTGCGGAACCAGGTAGGATGAAGGTGTCCGAACGTGTCGACAGGGGTGTCTTGTCCCTGTCTGTCGCTGTTCTCAGCACGCAAGCAGCAGTGCGCTCGAGCGAACCCGGCCGTCGAGGTCGTTCGTGAGGAGGTAGGTGTGACGTTCCGGTCAAGGGGTTCGGCAGGGGTCAATGGGGTGACGCGATAGATTGGTATGGCGCAACGAAACAAGAGACTGGAGCGCTTGGAAGGGAGGGTCAATGTCGAGGTGAGAGAGGAGGAAGAAGAGAGTGGAAAAGAGAAAAGTCAACGTCGCGACGTGAAGGACGTTTGCGGGGAAGGGCCCTTTATGGGTCAGGTCCTCTCGCCCCTCCTTTAGAGGGTTCCAATGGCTGGCGGGACATTGCGTAGGAGGCGACGATGGAGTAAGGGACGGGCGGGCCACGGATCGGGAGCGTGTTAGGATGGGATGGGATGGGATGGGATGGGATGGGGAGGGAGGGGCTCCTCTGCTTTGCTGTGTGCCACGAAGCGGAGAGGGTAGTACATGGTGGGTGATCACTGGGGGCCCTGCGTTAAGCTGTCTTGGTGTTTTACCGTTAGGCCGGGGTCGGGGTCGTGGCCGTGGGGAGCCTTTTCCCTTCCCCCGGACGACCGGGCCATTTGGCGCCAAAAAGAGGAGCTCGAAGAAAGAGCTCACTGCTTCGCCTCCTCGTTTTGCAATTTTCCCGTCTCCTGATGCCGCTGTCCACTTGCCGATTTTGCCGTTCTTCTGCACCATGTTGTTTCCCCGGTGCTGACACGAAGAGAGAAGGGTACCTCTCTGGACAACACGGATGCGACGGGTTGCCTCTGCATCTTCGGATGCAGGTCGCACGAGGAAGTGCTACGGCACAGCTCACCAGCCGCTGCATCCCTGGAGCTCACCTCACTCGTCTTCACCTTCTGGCTTTCCGCCCATCTTAGCCCTTCCCGGCCGGCCGGTGACGAAGGTCAAGACCTTTGGCTTTTGGCTTTTTTGGGGGGGTTGTGGAGGAGGGTCTTCTGATTAGGCTTGGCCTTAGTGTCTCCCCACGCCTCTGATCGGCGCAAACCTCTTTCGTAACGTGCATGGGCGTGCTGCCCGGATCGTCCCTTTGCCCTTCCTCTGCACTAGAGAAAGAAGAGAGCTTGCTTGGCCTGTCTGCCGCTTTATTGCAAATACCGACATCTTGGCTCCTGTGTGACACCTGGGTTTCCGAGGCTCCGTGGGTTTGGGTTGTAGAGAGGCCCCTTGAAAGAAAAAGAGGCTCAAGGGTCGCCAAGTACCATGTACCGACTGCTGTCATGGCCCTCGAGCGTCTCAGGTAGGGTGCCCCCCCCCTCCAATGCCAATGCCAATGGCGGGGTACTTGAACCCCTCCTGGCTGACCTCATCACATACGTCAGACGCCAAAAGACCGCCATTCTCGTGCTTCGACAGGCTGAAGAGGTCCAGAACATCGACCTCATCCAGCAGCTCACAAGTGAAGGAGGGCTGTTATGGGAACCTCACGCCCAGTCTTGTCAGCATGCTATGAGGTCAGAACTGCAACATGGCACGTCTCGCCGCTGAGTGCATCTGGATGGCCAAGACACAACGCCCCTCCGTTCAACTGGCTCTAGTTGTTGCCGTGGTGGGGTGTGATGGAGGTGCAAGTTGCGGGTGTCCATGGGCGCACTGGCGCGAACACCCCCTTTCCCCGCATCCCCATGGGCATCGATCTATCATCAGTGTCCGTCCCTCACTGTTTTTGCGACGTGTGATTTCTAGGCACCCTACGACAGATGGACGACAATATGTGGCCATCCCTGCGAAGGCGTAGGGGGCCCCCTCAGCGAACCAGACGGCTCGCATTGTGTTCACAACTTCATCTACTGCACCCTAAATCCCTTAGCTGCCACGCTATCAGTCCCGAATCGAGATGGCTTACCCATGATCACTTCCCATCTTTACCTCGGGCCTCGACTAGCGCATCATGACATCGCCATGACCTAACTTCCTCGGCCTTCCGTGGGTTCGCTTCCGTGGTCCACGCCGGGCTTCAGCCGCGCGCCATTGTTCCCGACGCGCACTCTTCCTTCCTTTATTTCCATGCCAGCAAGACAGAGCGCCCGATAGCTCATGCAGCCAAGCAGATAGCCATTTGCTGCACCCTGCGAAAGGGAAAAGATGAGGCTGTTCCGACCTCTGGCCCTAGGATGACCGGTAGAGCCTCACCGAAAGTGGCATCTCTCGAGTTCGCACCTCGGGTACAATGCGCCATCCTCTAACCGCCAATACTGACCACAGGCTGAATTACCGCATCGACGCCGGTGAATCTTTTCAGCGTCTCAAAATGCCTGGAGCAGTTGTCCTCTTAACTTGACAGTGTGAATTTGACCAGTCGGTGCGAGCCCCAAGTTGGACCTCCATTTGACACCTCAAAAAGTAAGAATTTGCACCCCCCGAATCAGTGTGCACTCACGCCGTGTCCACCCGGCCGAGTCTGTCACTTTTCGAGGTCCCTCCATCCGCAGAGCTGTCAGTCGGCATCGGTCTGCCTGGACGAAGGGAACCACAAGTTGCGTGCTTATCGATTGTGCTCATCCAACCGCCTGTCTGGCCTCCTGACTTCTGTATCACGGGTTCAATCAACATTTGGGTTCCGACGGCTCCGAACAGTTCGGGGTTCGCCATTCACCATGTTCACATTTCCAATGCCGGCTCACAGCTTTCCTGTACCTGGCTCACCGGTCCATTGAAACGTATTGTCATTTTCCTTCCTCGGCAGGAGGACAAGGCGCCCGAAATAATCCCTTCAACCCTATGTGATCCCGAAAACGCCAGAGACGCCCTGCCCCCCTCCCCCTTCTTTTCTAAATCCCGGCACACGCCAAATTACAGATCCATGCTCATCAGGTATATCTCGATGATCCTCATAAACTTGGCCACAAACGCCTCGAGGTGGAAGATGACCTTGGTGCCCATCCGGATCCTGTGCTCGTAGTACGCCGACCACTTGATGACCTCGGGCTTGAGCGCGTCGTCAATCATGGCCACGAGCTTGAATGTGAGCGTCTTGAGGATCGTCGTCGCCGGGATGCAGTGCGTCAGCAGGTCGTACAGCTTGGCGCGCACCTGCAGGATGCGCGCCGGCGTGTGCTCCTCCATGATCTCCTTTGCGATTTGCCCAATGAGGGCCTCCCAGTCGGGTGGTGGGATCCGCGTCGCGTCTGTCACCTTCTCACTGCCATGCCGTTAGCAAGCTGCCTCAAGAATGCTGCCTCGAGCAAGCTGCCTCGAGCAAGCTGCCTCGAGCAAGCTGCCTCAAGCAAGCTGCCTCAAGCAGAGCCGCTTCACGATTCGGGGGGAGACCTACTTTTGCGCATGCACAGCCTCGTACATGAGCAGCGCCCGCCGCAGATTCCTCCCGCTCTCCTGCGCTATCCTCATGTGCAGCCCCTTGGCCACAGGCCAGCCCTCCCTCTCGGCGCTCTGGCCCAGCACGTCGCAAATCTCGGCGTGCGTCGGCGCCGCCACGCGCACGAGCAGCGTCCGCGAGCGGATGGGCGCGATGATGTTGGCCGTCGAGTTGGCCAGGAGGATGAGGCGCAGGTTGGGCGAGTACTTCTCCATCGTGCGACGGAGCGCCGCCTGCGCGTCGCGCGTCAGGTGGTCGGCCTCGTTGATGACGACGACCTTGAAGCGCTGCCGCGCCGCCTGGTCGACCTGCTGCGTCTGCGCCACCTCCTTCAGCAGGTCCTGCACCACGACGCGGTCATAGTTGCCGACGTCCGAGGGCGTGATTTCGAGGTGGTAGTTGGACGCCACTATGTTGAACTCGAGCTTGCGGTTGCTCGACGTCTGGAAGACGCGGGCGTCGATCTTGATCTTCTCGACGCCGGACCCGTAGAGCTCCTTCAGCGTCGCTACGATGCGCGTCTTCTTGCCCGCGCCCGAGGGGCCGTAGACGAGGGAGGTGGGGGGAAGTCGCCGCTTCGAGCCTGGATGGCGAGGGACGGTCAGTTTGGGGGGTTCGAGGGGGTAGGGATTGTAAGGGGGGGGGATCTTTGCGTACGAGGGAGCTTAACCTGTCGGACAGCTCTGGGTGGTAGGTGAGGGCGTCCAAAGACTTTGGCCTGTGTTTGTCGACAATGAGAGCCATCGTGGTGGTATGTGGCGAGACGTGGGCAGAGCTGTGTGTTTGTGGTTGATCGGGTCACAGCGGTTGCCTGGGTTTTTGCCTACAGATGGGGTTGAAGATGGAGTGAGCCTGGGTGACGCGACGGTACGCGTTAAGTGCGATGCAGGTGTGAACAGGGGTTCATCTAGCCTGTGGCTGAAAAGTGGCTCGTGCTGCCATGGGGCTGTCAGGAGCTCTCACTCATGTCTCCTTGATGTACAGGGCCGAGAATGACCGTCTGTGGCCATTTCGTTGGTCACAATTCTCGAAAAGCCACAAGAAGTAGTCAGGATACATTTTCAGGACTTGAAAGCTCATATGGCGAAGCAAGCTTTCAAGTCCGTTCATATCGTACAGACATCTGCTCCCATCTCACTTTATCTCGCATGCCTGGTGCTATGCCTGGCATGGCACGCTATAATACAGTCGTGATTGTCCCGTAAGGCTTGATCTCTATGACGCCGGCGCCGAGGGGGCCGCAGCCACAGTCTCACTAGGCGTCTGAGTAGCCTGTGCCTGTTGCAACAGCTGCTCAGGTTCAATCTTTTTCCTCGGTCGCTTCAGCTCCTCCAGAGTCACACCGTCCAGCTTGGTGATGCCGACGACAGGAGGCTCTCCCTTCTGCACGAACTCCCATTGGCCTGATGTTTTCATTAGCACGTGAGCCTAGATTCAGCGTCGGACCGAACATACCGGGGAGCTTGTTGCCGGCCAGACGGAAAGCATCCTTGACGACAGCCTCGTGAACGAGTCCCTTGACCTCGAACACAACTTGGTTGACGGCAACACGCGCGGCCCAATGGTCGAAGCCACCCTTACCCTTACCCATACGAATCTGTGGTCATGTGAGCATACTGGGCCTCCGCGAGGACCTCTCTGAACCCGCTTACCTCGTTTCCGGAGACGTAAACGCCCACGTTGCATGCCACCCTCTTGTACAGTCGGTACTTTGTTCCACGGAGTCTCGTCTTGATGGTGTCCTCGGCGTTCTTGAGCTGCTTGGCGCTGATGCGGCGGTGGTGGTCCTTCATGCGCAGACCATAGTCACCCCACATGACCGTCGTGCCCTTTACAGAGCCTCCCGTCGCGACACGCGGCCTGCCCTTCATCATCTTCTTCGTTCGGTCGATCGAGGGTTCGAGCCAGCTGCCCTCGCGGGCTGGTGTTGACGAGAAAGGGCGGACATCGCGCAGCGCAGCGGCGACGGCTGATCGCGCCAATTGAGGCCGGACTGGGGTGGCAAGCGTCCTTGCTGCAGAGGTGGCCGAGATTTGGAGGCCACGGAAGGCGTCGAGCAGCGTCGAGGATCGCATCATTGCGGTTGTGGGCGGCACTCTGAATGTCCCGTGTCGATGATGGGCCAGATGGACGTTGGGATTTTTTGAAGCTGTACCGCGATGGGCATGTGGCTGATGCGGGCGGATTCGGTGCCTGAAAGTCGGGGCGACCACAAATTGACGACAGGGCCCACTGCCCAAGCCACACTTTAACGCACCTACCCCGGTCGCTCAGCAAGCGCGTGCTCTTCGCGTCACGATTTCCAAAGCTTCAGCGTTCACGTCGAAGCGCATCCCTCCAGGCAACCTACCCACCACCCAGTCACTCTCATCGCATCGTTTTTAGGCAGCAAGCTCCGCGGCTGTTATAAGCAGGACAGGCCTTCGAAATTTGCGTCCTTGTGCCAAAATTATTCTCAATCGTCCGCTGCTTCTGCTCAAGTCGACATGCCTGACATCAGGTCCTTCTTCGGGCCCAAGGGGGGTGCACCCCCTCCGAAACCACAGCCCGCACCCAAAAAAGCCGATCCACCAGCCAAGGGCCGCCGGGGCCGCAAGGTCGTCGAGGACAGTGACGAGGACGATGTAGCCGTGATTGAGTATGGTCTTCTTTAATCTGCCGCGTGTTCGCCGTTGCTGACGCACTCCTCAGGGTCAAGCCCAAGAAAGCTACCCCGAAAAAGAAGGCCAAGGAGGAAACCAGCGAGGTGATGATATCTGCAAGCGACTACTTCGCATCTTCCAACAGCAAAGCGAACAAGGCTCCTGTTTCGCCTGTGAAGAAGGTGAAGGCCGAAGTCGAGATTCGGACGAGTCCCAGGAACAAACAGGCAGCGTCAAAGCCCGCGGCCAAGCCGGCAACCGTGGCATCACCGGCCAAGAGTCGAGCAGCCACGAAGAAGCGGAGCGTCACAGCATACCAGGCCCACGATGATGACGATGACGGCGATGCCTACCGAGACGACGGCGCAGACGAAAACGAAGATGATATCTTTGCAGCCGATACCAAAGGACGAGGCAAGCGCAAGAACGACGACTATGCCGAGGATGAAAGCGACGAGGACATTCTGCCGAAGCCGAAGCGAGCAGCTGCCCGGAACACCACCTCCACAACGACGGCAACCAAGAGCAAGCCTGCGGCGAGTAAGAAGAGGAAGTCGCCCGAGACCGAGTCTGAGCCCGAGGAGGAGAAGCCCCGCAAGAAGCAAGCGCCCGCCAAACCACGCGCTCCTAAAGCGAAAAAGCCTGCTGAGGCCGAAGATGCCTCTTACCAGGCCATTCTTGATGATATCCCCACAGTCAGGGCGCCAACCCCTCCTGCGAGAGACCCTGATGCCAAGTTTGACTGGAGGACGGCAAGCAAGACTGGAGGCAACGGCGCTGCCCCGCCCCTGAACCCTGGAAGCGCCGAGTTGCCAGAGGGCGAGGATGAATGTCTTACTGGCCTTGCCTTTGTCTTCACTGGCGTTCTTCAAACCATCGGTCGCGAAGAGGCACAGGCTCTTGTCAAGAGGTATGGCGGCAAGGTCACGGGTTCACCGAGCAGCAAGACGAGTTACGTCGTGCTCGGAGAAGATGCTGGCCCTAGCAAACTCAAGAAGATACAAGATCTCGGCATCAAGACAATCGATGAAACCGGTCTTTTCGAGCTCATCAGACGCCTTCCTGCATATGGAGGAGGCGGCAAAGGAGCAGAGAAGGCACGGGAGAAGAAGAAGCAGGCTGAGGAGAAGATCAAGATCGACGCTCGAGAGATGGAACGTGAAGAGAAGGCCCGAAAGCTCGAGGCTGAAAAGGCCGCTCAGAAGGCTGCCGCAGCCCGTGGCTCGGCCGCACCCGTCAAGCCAGCAGCCCCTGTGGCTCAGCTCTGGACGTCAAAATATGCACCCACGCAGCTCAGCCATATCTGTGGCAACAAGGCACAGGTTGAGAAGATCCAGAATTGGCTCAAAAATTGGCAAAAGAGCCGCAAATGGGACTTCCAGAAACGCGGTGCCGACGGCATGGGTGCGGAACGAGCCATCATCATATCCGGCCCCCCCGGTATCGGCAAGACCACAGCAGCACACCTCGCAGCCAAGCTGGAAGGGTTCGACGTCATCGAGAGCAACGCAAGCGACACCAGAAGCAAGAGGCTTGTGGAGGAAGGTGTCAGCGAAGTCATGAACAACACCTCGCTACTCGGATTCTTCTCTGGCGACGGAAAGAAGCTAGATGCTGGCAAGAAGAACATCGTCCTGATCATGGACGAGGTTGACGGCATGTCGGCCGGTGATCGCGGCGGTGTCGGAGCTCTGGCGAAGTACTGCAAAAAGACAGAAGTGCCTCTGATTCTCATCTGCAACGAGCGTCGTTTGCCCAAGATGAAGCCCTTCGATCATGTTGCCATGGACATTCAGTTCCGACGACCGACAGTCGACCAGGTTCGATCTCGTATCATGACCATCTGCCACAGGGAGGGACTAAAGCTTCCGCCTCCAGTGGTCGATGCGTTGATCGAAGGCAGCAACAAGGATATTCGTCAAATCATCAACATGATTTCGACAGCAAAGCTCGACCAGTCAGCCATGGATTTCGACCAAGGCAAGGCCATGACCAAGGCTTGGGAGAAGCATATCGTGCTGAAGCCCTGGGACATCTGTCAGAAGATGCTCGGAGGCGGTCTCTTCGCGCCTTCAAGCAAAGCCACGCTCAATGACAAGATCGAGCTCTACTTCAACGACCATGAGTTCAGTTACCTGATGATCCAGGAAAACTATCTTCGATGTAAGCCCATGGCGTTGAACAACAGAGGCTACAACAAAAGGGAGGAGAACCTCAAGGCGCTCGAGCTTTTTGACCAAGCGGCAGAGAGTATCAGTGACGGCGATCTCGTCGATCGCATGATCCATGGACCGCAGCAACAGTGGAGCCTCATGCCAACGCATGCCATCTTCAGTACCGTACGCCCCGCCAGTCTCATCGCCGGTCAACTCATGGGATCCAACTTCACCTCATGGCTCGGCAACAACAGCAAGACAGGCAAACTCAACCGATTCATCCGTGAGATTCATTCTCATATGCGACTGAGGTCCTCTGGTGACGCGAATGAGATTCGCCAGCAGTACCTTCCCGTCCTGTGGGAACGGATGATCCGCCGCCTTGATATTGAGGGCAAGGAGAGCGTCTCGGACATTATCGATCTTATGGACAGCTATTACTTGACTCGCGATGACTTTGATGCGATGAAGGAGTTGGGTGTCGGACCGCAGGATGAGTCTCGCATCAAACTCGAAACGCAGACAAAGGCACACTTCACAAGGACGTATGTATCATCTCTCTTCATGACCCAGACTCATCACACTGACATAGCTTCATGCAGATACAATCAAATGTCCCATCCTGTTCCTTTCATGAAATCAGGCAATGTGCAAGCACCGATGAAGAAGGCAAAGGACGCCCCTGACCTCGAAGAAGCCATCGAGGAGGAAGATGAGGGCGAAGCTGAGCCGGAGGAGGCTGTTGATGAGGACAAGCTCGACCTGAAGACGGACAAGTACGTCAAAGCAGCCAAGAAGAAGCCTGTAAAGGGCGCAAAGGCAAAGGCAACAAAGAAAGCGGAGGACGAAAATGAGAGCGATGCCAAGCCCAAGAAAGGCCGCGCAAAGGCCCCTGCGGCGAAGGGCAAGGCCAAGAAGTGAAGAATAACTCCGGGCATTGTAGGGGGACGCCAACGAGGGCCTCCCTGGCTTCTGAGCGGTGTACATGATACTGTATTGGGTTCGTGGGCAAGAATGATAGGCAAGGTGCCTTGGTTTGAAGCTGTTACTCTTGTTATATCTACAGCTCAATTTGTAGTTGCTTGCAAGAGCCAAACGAGAGGTTATTGTAGCACCACGAATAATGACCAATCACTCGTCACACTGGGCATGTGAATTATAGGGTTGTCAATGGTTAGGCGACATTGGAAACTGGAAAGTGGCTTTGACAGCTACGTTTGCTTCCGATCACGCATCTCCTTGCTTCACTTGTCATGTCTTATAGACCGATGGATGCTGATCTGAATCGCAAGACGGCCTCGTCAGAGCATGTGTGCTGGGTTTGCTCAAGTAATCTGCCTGAGTTTTCATGATCAGGGTAAAAGTTCATTGCTGACATCGCACCTGCCGTCCATCGATGGTATGCCTGATTTCAAAAGTCCGTGCACTGTGATCATGGTATTATTGGGCAGATGGCACTGCCAAAGCCTTTCTTCTGGGCAAGGCGTGTGGAATTGAAGCTATCACCAACCGGGGGCATGCTGCCCATTTTGCTTCCACGAACAATGGCACCTAACATGTGAGTCGCCAGTGCAATGCGGAAGCAACTGAAGCTTACATGCTTGGGTCTCCTAGTGTGCTAGTAAGTCCAAGACGCGCGCGCAAGTTCTCGCCAACCGCTGACAGTCGGTAGAAACTCTTTGGCTTCAACGCCGACCACTGTGGGCGACGGTGCCATGGCGATAGGCACCGCTTAGTCGGCGCGCGGGTCCTATTCAGAAAGAATCCGTTCAGAGGCAAGGCTACATCCTGCGATATCTCGTTGTTCTCCATCGACAGCAGCTGCTCCTTCCCACGCTAGGCCTCAACTGACGATCCCCTCAAGACTCAACTAGCAAAGTATCAGACTGCTGCAGAGGCATCAGATTTCGCAGGCAAAGACGCAAGAAGACCAAGATCAGAATAATCAGGGTTCTCAGCACCAGGCAGATCGTCTGCCGCCGCTGGGTCATGCACAACGACCTGGAACAAGAGGGCGTCGACTCTCACCCCTATCGCGACGAAGGTACGCTGGATTTGAGGTCAACTACGGGTGTTTGGTGTGTCAACTAGCTAATGCTGCGAAATAGGAAGCACTTTGACGCAGAATGGGGAGGACGGATCACACGCCCCTCATGATCTCTCCATGATAGAGGAGGTCTCGTCAGACGTTGAAAAGTCCCCGGGTCAGCAAGCACACGGCAAGAGGGGCTGGAGCAACAGCAAAAGCCCATTCTTCGAAACATTCCCCTCCGACGAAGACGATGTTTTTGTCGAAACTGGCAACGGCGCTCTCGACGCGCTCCGCGCCGGGAACTTGCAGCGCGCGCGCAACCAACAGCAGGCCAGTCCATCAGGCCGCATCGTTCAGCGTCGGTACGCCGGACGATTCAGCTTTTATGGTGATGACGATGACTTTGCCTCGGAGGCCCCTCCTCGGCTTGAGTCTTCGCTGCCAAAGTCTTCGACCTTTGTGCTCGATCTTCCTGCTCCACGAGATGCGCACTCCTCTCGTGCTTCGCGGCGCGCTTCACGGCGCGACCAGACGCCTACCAAAGGTCGTCGCGGCCGATTTGTTATCCACAGCGAGCTCACAACCTCTGAGAAGCATCGTTCCAGTGCCGAAACTGCTTCAAAGATTCTCAAACGAGATTCTCCGTTGGTTGTCTCGCATGATCACAGCCGAGGCAACTCGGACGCGAGCACGCTCCGCATGGGAAATGGCATCTACCCACCCCCCTTGAATACTCTCGATGGATTGGGATCACGGAACGATGAGGAACACAGCATCCAAGACTCTGAAATTATCTCCAACACCAATGGGAATGATGATGTCCAGCGCCGTCGTTCTCGAAGCAACGCGTCCAGCTGCTCGAAGTCGACTGTCGACGGCATCCTTCCGTCTGAGGAAGAGGGCTCAAGAATGTCGACACCTGTCCCTGACAATGTCCCTGACAGTGTCCCCGAAAAGAGGCCCAGAGCGATAACATCAATTTCAGTAGCTGGAGAACAACGTCCGAGGTAGCCCTACCTCAGCTGAGTCTTCTACCTCCTGCCATCATCTCCACCCGTCGAGGGCCTTTTTTCTTGGTCTCCAGGCAAGCAACATCTAGTCCGTCGGGACGGAGATCTTCAGTTCGAGCAGACGGTAGAAACTCCTCTTCTCGTCCCTGGACCCAAGTCTGCTCGTAACCAAGGCGGCCCTCACGGCTTTGGCAACAACATTTACCCCGAGGAATGGGTCGAGGCTGGCGAGCTGGGCGAAGGATTGTACCCTCCCGGCAACCATCACGGTCTCTCAGACCCGTTCTCCTCCTCCAGTGCTGTCTCGCATGTGGATGGCATAGTTGATGGAGTTGCAGGCCTCAAAGTCGCTATCGTGGACAATGCTTTTACCCCTGAGGCGCTCCGGCGAGGCCAGCCTGGCGCGCAGGCTGCTGCCCAGAGAAATCGGCTGCTCAGCCCGTTCTACAACCACCTGCAGCAGCTGGCGGTTCGTTCGCGCAGTGAAGATACCGATGACGAGGCATTCGAAGTCGGTAGAAGGGCTGGATCCGCAACCAGTGATGACAGTGACAGTGCCACCCTTTACACGCAGAATGGTTTGCTGCCCGAAGCCATCGAGTCTCCCACAGCACACGTCCTACAGGAATATGAGACTTCCAGCGGTAAGTGGCATCTGTGCTGAGACTTTGCTTGTTCGTTTCTTTTCTGACACATTGCAGAAGATGGTGGCATCGACCAGGATTCCCATCTGGAACTCAGCTTGGGCTACTCTGAATGCCCAACTCGTGATGGAGGTAAGTTAAGCTCCAATGGGGGCACGTCGTTACACAAATTGACGGTTCTAGACCTTATGGAGCATTCTACTCAAACTGATGCTCCTGTCGCTATGGGCGGTTACACGTTCAACACGCGCGACTGGGGCGACTACGGCAGTGCACTTGTTGACCATGCCCCTGAGAAGGCCGCGCCCAAGATCCCCGGCTGCACCGCGGGCCAGGCCTCGAACAAGAACTGGAAACTGACAGGGCCCGTTCTTCAAGCTTATAACGCTATGCGAGGCTCTCGTATGGCCGCGGGTGACCCCATGGGTACGTGGGTCGGCGTGAAGTTACAAGAGGGCCTCATGAAGGAGTCGCCAGAAGGCAAGGGAAAGGGACAGGCTCCCGACTTTAACGTCCGGGAACTGCAGAAATTCACGGCCGAAATTGCAGAAACCCTTCAGGAGCGGCCGTCCATCGACAAGGCCGCCCGTCAGGAGGTTGCCAGCGTGCCGCGACCGCAGTATCAGCACATCAATCCGCCCAAGGGCTTCAAATATCCCGCGCACCCAGCCTCTTCCATCCACGGCATCGCCTCTGAGAGCTTTGACAGAAACTTTAAGGAGGAATACGACATCTCTGACGACGAGGGTGACCCGCGCGCCGGCCGCATCTCACCCTGCACGTTCCGCGCCCTGGCCGAGGGCTGCACGCGCTGGGAGGAACCCGGCAAAGAACTCATCCATATGCCCTCGGACACGAAGAGACTCCGTCCCAAGACACCCCCTGGCGGATCGCAGCCGCAGATGCCTCCCGACCGCATGGCCCACAACTTCACCTGGCAGAAGGACATCGGAGGACGGCGACGCACTGTCTCCGATGTACAGCCTAACCTCGGAAGCC